GACACTGGATTTCATCAGATATTATGACCTCAATCTATTATTGACACAGTGTTTGCAGTTATGAATGATTTAGAGCTATAGGATTATATTTATCAGCGTAGTAGCACTTAACATCTTGAGTTGCATTCTGAATTAAACGCCAGGGGTATGTGGGGTTTAAACAGTGTGCAAGTAAGTGCTTGTGCCTAGCAAGTCCTTGGGAATGAACCCACTGAACTCCCAAAGGTGTGTGGAATAACTTAAAGAAATCACAATTGTGTTACCAACTCTACCATCTAGTGGCGAAAAGCCGTCGTCACTTCTGAAAGCTCCATGAAATGATACCGGTATGATTTAAACAAGTCAACATGACATACTGTAGACGTGAGCTTTATTTGTTAAAATAGAGAGAGATCTGAGCAGAGGAGGCCCAACTGTTCCTGGAAAGCCCAGGCGTCAAAATAAACCTCATTTTGACAACAGAGCAGAGATAAACACGCAGGGATACGGTACCAGAAGGTAGAAGAACATTTGATTTATTGTTATTTTGCAAATGAAAGTCTTAGAGAGCAATGTTGGGTTTCTTGTAACATAAGTTACTGTAATTTCTTGCTTAGGTTGATAGTACTTAAATTAAAATTGTTCCTTTGTGTACTTGAACTTGCAATTCATAAAACTATAGAATTTATATCCCAGAGAGCAACTTTACATCAACTCAGTGTTCTCAGTTTGGACTAGTTTCAGTAACAACGATCACAGAAGCGGTACAAACAGGATAGTATGTTGGTTTATCTAAAATTAATCCCTAAACTCAAAGAAGCCTAACAAATAAATGTTAAAATATAAAACGTACAAATCAAACCTACAATAAAAAAAACTATAACCTGACTGCGTACCTTGGGTCCAAACTTCAATCTTTGAAATCAGATAGCATTCATAAGTTTCATTTTGTAGCATAACATAACATTGGATTTCTTCCACTATTGTTTAAGATTGGGAAAATAAAACTGATGCTTACTAAAATAAATATCCCACCCATGGGTACTCTCCAAGATCCTCAAATCTGTACAATGAAAACAAGTGCTAACTCACGGCAGAACGCCTCAGTTACTTTTGGTACATGAACATAGAATTACAAATGACTCTAACATTACAGCAAACATCTGGCTTACTCAGCATCTGCATCTGCATCAGCATCTGCAAACTGGCCGGCCTCAGTGGGAACCTCCAAGCTCCACCATTTGACGGGCTGTCGGTGGAGCTCGGCCGGGCTGTACTTGGCTGTCACCGGCAGGTCCACTGGGTCCGTTTGCTTAATTGTCAAATTCCTTAAATCATAATGGATCACATCTTCTGGACCTGAAGGAGGCACAAAATACCAGTTAGACATTTGTACTGCACCTGACCTGGATCATAACAGCTTTAGACTTGAGATTAACCTCAGTGGAAATAGCTTGTTGTTAGATAAACCTCGAAAATTGGTTTTATTCATGTTCAGTTTCCTTCAATTGAACACTATGGTAACGATACTACTGTAATTATCCTAATAAGAATGTATTCAGATATTTCGGGTGACATCAGCATATACTATGGCTACAGTGCTGTATGTGGATATTTAACCATTTCTTTACCGTAGGGCATGAAGCCAGAACACATGTTGTCCCAGCCAGTCAGTGTGACCTCTTTGATCTGACTTTCCCAGTCTTCCTCCTCTTGTGGTGGCAACGCTGGTGGATGGATGTTTCTATAAAAGTCAGCAGATTGATAGGTCTCATATTACCTTTGTATTCAACAATCAGGCAAATGTATTCTTTTGAAAATAAAACAAAAAAACAAGGGAAATTGGCCATTGAATTTTGGTATTATCTGACTGTTGTGGGTGAGTCTCATTAATGGAAGCAAATGCAATAGTAGTTTAGAATTATGTTAATATCATTATCATTCTTGCCATGAGTTTGATAAAAAAAAGATTAGCGCCTTTTCCGTTGACAAGAAAAAGTGACCATGTGGCCAACATATGTAGTTTTTTACATATTTAAAAAAAATGGTACCTACAATACATGTTGTACTATATGAAGGAGCGAGGTTCTATTGAGTTGCATTGTGTGTGAGAACTAAAAACCTTTCAAATGGAACAAATATTTACTAAAATGTATTATTTGTCAATGTCAATGGAAGCTGTGTTAAGTTGTAGTTTTTACTTTTTGTCCACCGGAAATGTACTTATGACACCAAATTAATTAAAAAAAGATTCACGGTTTTATCCCAGTGATTCTTTCAAATATGTTACAAGGTAGTTGACCTACCTCTTCTTTTCTCTGAATTTCCTCCATCTCCGTTTCTTTGCTGTTGATGACGGGTTGGGTTGTGGTGCCATTTGTTGAGAATTACAGAGAGGAGCAACAGAGTCTAGACTGGGGGTCCCATTCACTGACGGACCACCTGAAGGCCTTGCACTGCGGACCCTTACAGCTGCTGAAGCATCAGGGGCAGCTGAAATTGTGCTTTCATGTTTTCCCAGGGTCCCTCGGGGCGTGCCTTTTGTGCGCTGGCCCTTGTCCCCATGGTCAATATAACCATTGACCATGCATTGTGGTTTGACATCGTCCCGTGTGCAGACTGGTGTACTCTTACTTTCTCTAGTGGAAGCAGCTGGGCAGCCATTGAGAGTGACAGCTCCATTTACCAAACCTGTGACGGGAACCTCATCTCCGACTTTAAAGGGGTAGTGACGCGTCTCTCCTCTTCTTCTTTCATATTTTGTACCATTATGAAGCATCACGTCACCTGTGAATTAGTCGGAGGGTTTGGTGTTAGTGCAAAGAATGAAAGAAAACAACTACAAGAAATATAATGTTTTTTTAACGTCTATAGGAAAATGATGTTCTCCAGAAGATGAATCCTCCTATTGGTAAAACAAGTGGAAAGATTTAAGTTGGGCTTTTAGGAAGGACATTTTTTAAATTGTTTTCTGCATGGACATTAATAACATGAATAATTGATATCTTTCAGCTGGCAAGTTCTCCCAAGGCATTGATAGGCATAAAACACATAAATCACTTGGTTCACTCGGTTTGTTGATTTACAAAAAGTAGGGAGGAATTAATCAAACACTTTAAATAATTTGGATTCTGAGTTGATGTTGAATATATTAGCAAGCAACCATGCTTGGTTTCTTCTCCTGGCAGGAAAAAAACATCTCAGAAAATACATTTAAATGATGAAAACTAATAACTGCGAATTGTTAAATTATCTTTAATACTTTTTTCACTTGTGGATATTGTTTATGATGCCTAAAAGAAAAAAACATGCATATATATATAAAATGTATGATTAGCGTTTGAATAATCACAATTAGCAAGATTATATCAAAGACACATACATTAAAGACAATAAACCTAAATAACACATCCAAAAAGAGCCAGGGGGATAAAACAAAAAGAAACAAACCCATTAAAGAGTTATTAAGGAGCTTAAGAAAAATAAGAAATATCACAATGAATCTTTTTTAGCATTTTTTTTTTTGGTACACACTAGTTTCCCTATATGCTAGCAGCACCTGTATAATCACAGGATTCACAGTGTCAGGCTACTTTCCTGCCATGTGTTGCGTGGGAAAACTATTGAGGAAGCCAATAAACTCTGTCTTTTTTTAGAAGGAGACTGTTCTCCACGCTGACTCACATACAGACTCACATGTTGTTAAAAAAGTGATATGCCGGGCACCGCGTTAGCCCTGCGCTAGCTAAACTCAGCGCCGGCTAAACTAGCCTTGTGATTAACCGGTACTGTGGTATCGACTGTTGACGGTACATGAGCTCATTATTTGGGAAAGCAACAACAGTTAACAAAATACAGGAAAAAATCCCCCCAAAACTTTCAATCGAAAATAAATCCCTTTAATTTACTTTGAATCCTAAATGAAATTCCATTTTACCTGTACTTTAGCCTGAGGCACAACTCCCCGGGTAGCACGCGCTGTGGGAACAACAAGATGGAGCAAACGCCTGGCCAATTGGAGGCGCCAGAAAACAATGTCATATTTGTGGGTATATTTCTAGAGTTACTTTTTTTTTTTTTAAATCCAGTTGAATAGGTTTGGGGTTTACCAACAGTTTTCTATGAGTATCAAACATTAAACCCCCTGGCCTATAGGCTTAACATGTTAGTATGTTAATCTGGTTGTTTGTTTCTTGGAGTTTGTGAGCAGAGTACGACAGCAATAGTAATGTGTTTGCTTAAACAGTGACCCCTTGCGTCAAAAGAGCCACTTCTCAAAAAAAATGATGCAAACTAACCCACTTCTTTGCAGACAAAAGGCTCTCGGAGTCGTTGTTAAGACTCATATTTGCGCCAAATAATAGCTTTATATTTCTTATTAATTAATCATCTGTTTTACTGTATTCTATTATCTGCGAGGGAGTAGACCTATACAACCTTCAAACGTTTTGGAACCAGATATTTTTTTCATAAATCAGACCAAGGAATAAACAGCTTCGCACAGTAATAATAATAGGCTACATTAACTGTAGACGTATCATAATTGGCTGGTATAATAAATACAAATTGCCCTGTTAATTTCCACATGGAACAAATTCATTTTCAGTAAGAATATTTGAATTGACAGTTTAAATAAATACTGAAAAATGCTCTGTTAATAGAATTTTTTCTCGTGTTTTAATTATTAATATGACAATACGATACCCTTTTGAATATAGAAACAGAGTGTAAGAAGGTAACACTTACACAGTGTAGGCTATTTAATAGTGTAATAAGTTGAAAATACACCCATGGTGTATTGTCAGGGTTTATATTCTGTTCTGTTGGTCACATATCTTTGACTAAATACTGGGTCAATTTATCCCTTCCCTAACACAGCTCCAGTCTTAAGGGCTGAGTGCTTTTTCCAATATTAAAAATAAAGTCTATCGAGTTATTCCACCTGATTCAACCCGGTTTCATTAACATTGAGTGTAAATTCTGAAATCAGTCAGGCAACTTGAAAGAATTGGATATTTAGGCTCAAATGTTTTTATTTACAGAACAGAATACCACATCATGGAAACGTAGACATCAGCAGTGTACACTGTGGGCAAATAATAAGTGTTTTATTATTTGAGAAATTACATAAATGGAAATAAACTAATTCAACATAAGACATTTAATGAGACAGTATCACTGCCAAAGCAATTGTTATTGCTGTTTATAGTTACATTGCATCATTGGATAGCACTAATGATGACAGCTTAATGTATCGTTTATTAATTTTCTTAAATCTAGAATGGCACGAGCAGCTATAGAATGAAGAGATTTGAGAAGCAAAACAAGACACAAATCTGCAGGTATAGGTAAATAAGTTAATATTGCTCATAATGTTCACCATTTAGTTTGAGTTAGGAAGACAGCTTTCAACCATAAAAAGCCAGTTCAAAGCAGGTTGAAAAGCAAAGGACTTACCGTAACAAAACAGATTGAGAAATGAAACAAAACATCCCCAACTGCATTGAAAAAGTCATTACACTGACTGTTGACCAAATGTTCCCAAAATGCTAACCTTCGTACCATACAAAGCATTGTGCTATAACGCTTTTCTAAAAGGACACCTAAGGAATCACAAGGTTTTTTTTGATAAAACTGTATAAAATAGTTTTTATAGTATCAATCTGAAAAAGAGTGGTGAGTGGCACATGAATACAAATCACTATATAATTACAACATTTACAAGTCAAAAAAATATGTCAGACGTAGACATAGAATGCACCTTCAGAAAACTATGTAAATCTATAGCACATCGTCTTGAAAAATGTCCTCAAAGGCACAGACAGAAGAAAAGGTGAACCATGCATAAAGAAACAAACACGTTTTTTCTTGTGCAAGGAAGCAAAACTTAGGTTTTGGAATAATTACATGATACAGCAGATTAAAATTGTCTCCCCTCCCCCAACAATGCCCTCTTCATTACAGTACCTAATACTGTACATGTGTGTTTCAACACATCTTGACCAATTACAGTGATTTCAAGTCAAAAAGCCTTTTTTAGCCTCACGGAAAGTGAAATATCCAGTTGTACATTCATATTTACAGTATTAGAGAGTTTCAGAGGGCACAAAAAACTATTTGCAACATGTAGGCTTTAATGAGATTGCTAATCCAGTTTTTGTGCCAAAAAGTGAGTCTCCTGTGCATGCTCACGTACAATATCTAGGGTGATTTCACTGAGCAAAGAGAGAGGATTCAGTAAACCATGTTACAATGGCTTCCAGTCACTTCAACATAAATCCACCCTGTACATTCATAGCTCACAATTCTGTTCAACATCATTGGGGTCTATTGCTAGCAACAATGAACCTATTCGCCAATGTGTTGCTAGCAAATAGCAGCCTCAGAAGTTCCAGTTTAAAGACACTCCTTGGTTGCAGCTTCTGCTCCTTAAAGTGACACTCGACTACTCATCTGAACAAACTAAGGGCCACTATTGGACTGATTGACTCTGCAAGTGCTGTTGCAAGGTTACTGGAAGACATGTTCTCAAAAATAAACAAATTCACCTGCAATGTACCATCACCAACTTTACTAAAACCCTCCTTTGCTTGCATACGTGGTCCATCATCTGTCGCGCACAACTTCTGTTTACCCTTGTAGCTAAAGGCGCTCTTATTCGTTTCTTTCTCTTTACACTTTTCTCAATCCTCTCTAAAAACGTGCCTATCCATGATTCATCGTCAACAAACACCTACATGTCAGAGGAGAAAAGATGGGCAGTTTACAGATCAGGCAATACTCTGGTCGGCCTTCATGCCTCTGAGACTCAGGTTTAGTCTGCTTCAATGTTCCAAAGAAATCATACCAAACTTTCTATCTGCGGATAATACAGCCAACATTACACCAGGATACAATACAACCCATATCAGGTTTTTTACATTGTTCCAGTTTTTATGTCAAGGTAACACAGTATGTCGAGTGTACTTCTTTCAGCGACTCTGTTAATCCTCAAAGCATGTTGAGCGCAGGATATTCCTGTTTTGTTGTATGAGATAAACGTTGTGACAGTATCTACAGTTCACAGCATAGACAGTGAATAAAAAAGAGCAGGACAGATCGATTAGAAGAGTCACAGTAGTATGACCTGCGGTCAGTTCAGCACTTAATCCCACTGTAGAATGTCCTTCCCTGCCATAAGCAGCAGGGGGCGATGTGTGTCTATTTATGTTCCAGTTTCTACGACTGGCTCTGGTTGTCTCTGTTGTCCTGTACAGATTCCTGCCTCAGGTTAAAGTTTCTGATCAAACAACTGGAATGATCTTCATTCGCCCGAGACCGATTCTCACTCCAGTTGAGTCACTGCTAGTCGCCCTTGATCTCCAGGATGGAGGGGTTGTGGTCCAGGATGGACAGAATGATTTTGTCCATGTACTGTCGCAGTCGAATGTTGATTTCTTCCTGCTCTTTCAAGGCTTCCATTAACTGTGGAAAGAGACGTACGTCATACACCTTTTCATTTCAGTTTGGCAAAAAGGTCAACCCTAATCGGACCTATTTATAGGCCTGATGACTCAAGAGCTTTTGTTTGGAACTATTGTGAGAGCTAAAAAAATGCTTTACTCACTTATATGGTACATATACAATTATGTTTATATTGCTACACAAGTTGTTATTAATGCTGCTATTTGTTATAAATGCTGCATGTTGCTTAAATAATTCCTTCAAAGGTGAATCCATTATCAATACAGTTGCTAATCCACTGCCTAGTTAACTATTCATTGATCAATCCACAATTTGTTGTAGCTCTAAAGCTGCTTTAATTACAGACTTCATTTGGCTCAGTGTCTTACAGTCTATGTGAGAAAGGACCACCATATTATGCACATAAATGCAAATCTAACATAATGTAATATCTATATCCCTGTCATGCTGTGATATGACCTACAAATACACTCCAACTAATGTATGGACGGCACCTGTAACATATTTCAGATTAATTAAATGAATAAACTTGGTAGTTTGCACAAGAGTAATGTTCATAATAAAATATGCATAGCTGGTCTGTATCTTGTTGTGATGTTACCTGATCTCTGGAGGCGTTTTCTATCTCAGCAGCTAGAGACTGGGCCTTGGTCTGTGTGGCGAACAGGGTCTTAGCTTCATACAGGCTGAGGCTGAGGATCTGACCGTTGAGCTCGTCGTTCTGCTCCCTCAGCTTCTGATTCTCCTAAAAACACAGTCGGGGAGGGAAGAAGAGGAGAAAGAGATATATAAGGAATTAGATAACAATCTCGACAACACAAGTGCATCGGTGGTCATAATACTTTTGAGGGATTGTCTCTACTCAAGCTTCACACCCATACAGTGCACTTATCTCATACAGCAGTAAACACAGCAATCTATTATGGCAACACCTACGGGACATAACATGGGTTACGCGTGTTACAGAACAAACTGCTCCCCTGCTTCGTCTGACGTGTTATGAAAGCTCCATGATTAAGTTGCCTGTGAATACTGACAAGAGGTCAGTTTGCTTTTCCCCTCTCTCTATCCTCCACCGTTAGTGAGGGGAATTGCAGAAACTGACCCCAATTCAGTTTGGGCAAGCTCAGTAGTGCTATTAGTGGTTAATCAGGAGGTCACAGACGCAGTTTTACCATGAGACCAGGACGGAGCCGAGCCCCAGACAACAGCAGGTGCTGGAATTCAGGGAGAAGAAAGTCCTGGGACACAAATGGCTGGACACACACATACAGACATTTAGAGAAGTGCACAGGCAAGCATAATATAGTGAGCTTCTCCCCGTGGACGTCACTGGGCTGTGACTCTCAAATTGGATAATTTATCCAACCACAGGCAATCTAATTGAATTGTTCTTAATCAAATACTTCAGGAAGTAGCTCAGGATACAAGTTGATATGTTGAGAGAGAAAAAAGAAGAATCTGCTGATAGAAGCTGGAAATAAAACCATTATCATCATTCCCCTTCATGCTTGCCTGCACCTAGTGTGACCAGTGTGGACTGAGGCCACAGGGGGACATGTATTTTACCATCTTAGTCCCTGATAAGATATAAACAGTGCAAATCAGCACTTCTAACTCACTTCCAGAACTGCTTCAAGGCTTGGAGGGTTTAGTAACTTTCAGATGGCCCTATGGAGCACCATTGCTAATGCATATCAATACAATTCATAAAAAATGAGTCAGACACAGGCTTCTCTACAACTTCAAATAGTATTATAACTTCTTCTGTCACTAGCCTCATCGGTGAGATCTGAAAAACACTCGTCTTCTCCCTGGTCTCTAAACTAATGTTCACTTTGCATCAGGTCTGTACACTTCGCAGGACTGGAAACAGTTACATGACATTTAAGTCTGGCAGGCAGATAATAGAGGCAAATGTCACTGTGCCTGGGAATACAGAAATGTAAGAGCAGAAGAAAATGATACAGATCACATGCAGTGGATATCAAACTGTGCTGAGGATGGGGTAAGCTCCATGACCAAACGATCAGTATGTCAAGGGTTGCGCTGCTGTTAAAGGGGCTTTTAAGGGAATACATGGAGCCAATGTTATTAACTGGTATGATAATATATTCTGCCTACACCCACTCTGTTTCAAAGTGGTCCATTAAGCGTAAAAAACAAAAGTGTGGCTTTGCTGTGGCTTTGGCAGTGCTGGAGATCTTCCTGTTGTGCAGGGTTAATACTAAGCTGTCTTTGGCTCTTTTTCTTGCTGTAACAAATGCACATTTCCCCTCTGTGGGACGAATAAAGATATTCTGACCCTGATTCTCCAGTAGCCAATCCGAATCACTGTGCAGGTATATTGGACAAAATGACAAGGCTCTAATTGAGTCATTGTGTGTGAATATGTTTTCTCTGAGATATTGCAGGGACAAGATAAACTTGTGTTGATCGTGTTTAAATTCCATACTCCTGACTTTGAGTCATTTGTAGCATAGTGTCAAGTTATAATAATAGTATTAAGAAAGAGAAATAAAATGAACATTTAGCCCGTGTCAAAGTGAGACACACAAAAAGACAAGAAAACAAGTATTTGGTTGAAATATTTAAATAAAAAACAACTGTGTGGTTTCACAGTAGTATGTTGAACATTCAACCTGTGACGGTTTCATTATGTAGCCTGCTTTTTAAATTAGCATCTCCGTGCATGTATTTAAAAAAATAAAGAATACTCTTAAGTGCATCAAACCGCAGCTGTACACCAGGCGCCATTTTGCTTCCCATCTTTAAAATCAATGTGAAAGTGCTTCATAATAATCTCTGCACACTCAGCGGATACAGTCCTCCCTGAGCTCACAATGCAAAACAAAGACGTTGGACAGTGTTCCATCAGTACCTGCTTCAGCCTCTTGACCTCGTGCTCCAGCTCCATCTCCCTGGTCCGGCTGTTGAAGTCTGCCAGCCCGGAGGAGGAGCTGCGGCTGCGGCCGGGCCTCTCTGCCTCCAGCTTGAAGAGCTGCAGGTTCTCCAGCTCCCGACGCAGGTCCTCTATGAGCTGCAGAGAGGACGGATGGAACATGTTATATAATGCCAGTGCAGTGTTTTGAAGGTGTAGGTGTAAGAGGCAGCATCATTGCATTGGGACATAGAAGAGTGAAAGCAGAACAAACAATCCACTGTTTCTGATTGGATCAAATAGTCCTTCCCACCTCCTGCATGGCTTCCTTTTCTTTCTGGAACTGCTGTCTGTTCTGTCTCAGTTTGTCCATCATTTTCCTGTAGAGGTCCATCTCGTCCTTCAGGCGCAGACTAGTGTCCTCCAGCTTGTCCGTCATCCTCTGCTTCTCCTGACGAAGGACAGATATGCACACACTTACCGTATGAAGTTTATTTTGTGTAAATGAGGTGTTATTCCAAATAAGACGAATATACTCACTTCTCAGACAGACATTCCTATTTGCAGTATGCAGTCATTCAAAATTCAAAATCACATAAAGAGAATTGCATACATCCACAATGATAGACCTTTGTATATACTATTAAGAAACAAAGGGTCAAAGGGTTTTAGTGTGCATTCATTTAAAGAAAGAATCCACAAACATTTATTTAAATATAGAGTTATTTTTCACATTTTTATGACATATTTGGTCACACATTCTTATTCTGTGAGCAACAGTTGACAACTACAGTATCTGCTTCTGTATCAATAACACAGATATTGTCTCAATTAGAGGTATGGCTCAGCAGCATCCAGTGGCACACCTCATCTTATTCATTAAAATGGCAGTTTCTTATTCTTTTTTCACCATTTACTAACTTATTGACAGTACCATGAAATCTTTGGGTGCAATATGTTGTTTAAACGTTTTCAGACTCATGTTGATGCCACTTGAACACTCTCTTAATATTCAGTACACCTTGGAATGTAAAATCGAAAACAGAACAGAACAAAGAAAATAAGAGTAAATATGGCTCACCTCATCCAGTTTTTCAGAATGCGATTTAAGCCGCGACATGTTAAGGGTCATCTCACTGTTCTCCTCCTCCACCTGCTTGACTCTGAGAAAACACAATGTCCTGCACATCAGTTTCCTGTTTATATAAGCTGAGTGTGTCTCTCAGTAGCTCCGGAGGCATCAAACTCAACCCAGGAGGAATCTGTGAGCTCTCTTCAGCTTACAGTTTTACATTCACAAGTCAACGTCCACATCCAGGGATTTAAGAGCCCCTGGATAATGGAAAGTTCTTGACATCTAAAAACCCCGATCTAAATCTTACTTCTGCATCAGATTATAAACGTCCTACTTTGAATACATTTGAATATAAATAAAATACACATACGTTTGTGTAGTTTGGGTTTGTGACTATCTGTGTTTCTGTGCTTCTCACCGGTTGGTCAGCAGCTCTATCTGTGTGTCCTTGTCTCTCTCCATCTTGCTGTAGGACTCTCGGTGTCGTCTCAGCTCCTCCCGCAGATTTTGTTCTCCTCGTGTCTCCTGATCTTTCAGCTGCTCCTCCAGCTCATTAACCCTGAGATGATGAGCACAACATTCAAACTACTAAATAGCTTGTTTTAAACAGTCAATACTAAAATACTTCTACATTGTTGAATTATGCAGACATGATTAGATGTTTGGGGATAAAAAGCAATTCTACAATAAGCAGTAACAGAGAATGATTTTTGTGATATGGTGCTGATCATTTATTTGTTCAAAAATGAACCAGGTGTTTTTGTGAATGACAGTTTTCTCTACCTGTGTACTAGCTGTGTGTTGTCCTGCTTCAGCTTGGACTTGATATCACCGTTCATCAGAATCTCATTCTCCAGCTCTGCCACCTTCTTTTCCAGAAAGCTGACCTAAAAGAAACCGAGGGGATTCACTTTCAAATTAGAAAACATCCCGTAAACTTGTAAAATTGTACAACTCCCAAGGTTTAAGCTTAAAGATAATAACCTTATTCCTTTAATTTTAAAGACAAAATCCTGACAGGGCTCATCTTTGTGCATTCTCTACTCGAGCTGTGCATCTACCAGGAACAACTTGTCACATAAAAAACGCTTAAGGTGAGATATATTAAAATATTTGAGTTTGGTTAGGTTTCAATAGTCACACAGAAACAGGAAGATTTCTTCTAACTTCCTACAAAAATTTGTGGGTAATTAAGAGTTTTTACTAGAAAGACCAAGGATCAATATATACTATGGATAAACAAAAGCGCACACACACACACTTCGCACCTTCTCATTGATGTCGATGTCGCAGGAGTCGATGCTGTCTCTGAAAAGGTCTTCAGTGCTGCCGTTACTGCTGCTCAAGTTGCTGTTGTGAAGCAGCTGCCTGCCAAACACACAGAGACACGAACATTAAGAATCTGCCCGTTATAGACCCAGGTGAGGACCAGCTGTGTGTGTGTGTGTGTGTGTGTGTGTGTGTGTGTGTGTGTGTGTGTGTGTGTGTGTGTGTGTGTGTGTGTGTGTGTGTGTGTATGTGTGTGTGTGTGTGTGTGAGATGTAATGAGCTCAGCTCTGCAGTGATTCTTCTGCAAGGTTGCATAGATGGTATACATCTATGAGGGCAGTGCCAAGCAGAGACACACACACACACACACACACACACACACACACACACACACACACACACACACACACACACACACAGAAACAACCACACACACACACACACACACACACACACACACACACACACACACACACACACACACACACACACACACACACAGCTGCCCTCTTTTGCTTCTGATGGAAATTACTTGCGAATAGCAAGCTTCTAATACATTACGGAGATTAGAAATATGGAGAGGAGACATGAATGATTGTTTACTCTAAAATATGGGGACCATTTTGTGGACTGACCAACCAACTGAGTGAGCTATAGAGCTGCTACTCGTAGCTAAAAAGAGGAAACAGATAGTAGAGGGATCAGAATAACAGATAAAGGGAGCGATAAAGTAGAAGAAGTAATCAGACCAGAGAGAGAGGACAGTAGAAGCAAGAGAGGGAGGGAGCAGAACCTCATATTGGAAACATAGATCAGGTCTGACAGGCCACTTTCACTCTGTCGCTGTAACTCAGTTACTGTGGGGGGAAACAGGACAAAACCCTGGATACAAAACACTTCACTCAGTACAGACTAGCAGGCCATGGAGAGGGATACTGTACATCGCTAAAGTTTTTTTTTTTCAAACTGCAAAAAATAAATATGTTTGCAGCACGTATGATTTCAGATCAGCGTTTTCTCTAAATAACCAGTAACTAATTAACTGGCTGTAAGAGGACAATGTTCTAGCAGCCGAGTGATAACTAATCTTGCTGTGTATGTGTGTGTGTGTCAAAAAAATTGAGCAAACATGTGCAGCAAAGGCTATATAATGCATAAACAAACAGAGTACAAGTGGGTGACCTTCCCAACACACACACACACACACACACACACACACACACACACACACACACACACACACACACACACACACACACACACACACAGAATTACCTTCCAAAAGCAGTGCTGGAGATCTTCCTGTTGGGGCTGTGAGGGGAAAAACAAAAGGACACACATTACAGTAAATTGTCACAGATATGTCTACAGTCACAATACACTGGAACTACTGATGGCAATTAAGATTTGGGCTATTGTGTGTGACAGACAGGCAGGAAAGAGAGAGAAAGAAACTCAGAAGGACATGTCAATCATAACACAATTGAACTGGTGGTTCAGTGAGAGAGGGTTTCTGCCAGCTCAGCAAATGTCTCAGGGTGACAAAAGCCCAAAGACTGTGTCTGTGTGAGTGGGGTTTCACATCGGATTAACACAAGTGAGCAAACATACTGTAGGGCCAGAATGTCTGCTGAAAACTGACATGATCACCAACCCCTGGACAAGGTTTATTTAAAACAGTAGAATCTACATTAAGGCAGCAGTAGTACAGTACAATAAATAGCTAGTTCTATAAAAATAATTGTGTTCAAATTCAGAAATGATCACTGTGGCATCCATGTGAAACAGCTTGGTACAATATTGAGAGTCTTCACCAGTAAATAACTGACCAGGTGTCCAAAAGGCAGATCCTCTTGGCAAAGTTTTACAGGTTCTATAATTCTTAGTTAGGAACTATTTCTCTGCTGCTAATGTTTCACTTAGATTCCTCTTTGAAAAAGTCTAAATGGCAGAGCAGAGTTACTGCTCCAAAAATCTATCTTTGAACTTCCATCTGCATTAAACACACTTATGAATTATTAAACATTTGTGATAATGTGCTCTAGCTTCAGTCTTTGATGCACTGGTGCTCTTATGTACAAAATATACACATTCAAAACATTTAACATTTGAAGTTCTTTCATTTTGTTTATAAACGATGTGCATTTTTACGTTGATGCTAGCCAAGGCACAC